GCACTAACTCAAGTTTCCAGACTGTTTTCAGAAGCAACTCCACATACGAGGCATTTCAGCAAACTACCTGGGAAAGTACCAGAGTGTAGAGATTCTCCCTGTGCAGATCCAATCACAGCTGGCAGTTTTGAGAATGGAAGGTTCATTCCTCTCCAAGATTCACAGTTGCATTCTCTTTTTTGGTAATCAACACCTTTACTAAGCATCAGAATATCACTTATGAAAAAGCCCACAAAATCATTATGGACACAAATGGAACCTGCAGTTCCATTCTTTGCTGGGCTGGGAGAAGAGGATCGTGACCAGCAGGAGGGGATCCTGCCAGCGTCATTTTTCCCTGTCCCAGCTCTGGCAGCATCTACCACTCCGATCACCAGGATGTGCCCCACAACCCATCAGCCTGCTTGCCACCTTTCAAGGCTTTAAGTGGCAGAAGATTCCCCATCCCTATTTGAGCACAACATTAAGGTTAAAGTAATGTATCAAATAATATGGTACTAATCTTTAATATATTGGACTTTGTGTTAAAAAAAACCCTTTTTGTAAAATATCATCCATCCACCCTCTGCTGTGAACCTCACTGGGTTCAGACAACATGGCAACTCCCAGACCAGGAGGATAATTATGAAAATCATGTAGCACATGACAGTCACATGCAGGACATGGCAAAAAAAGAAAAAAGAAAAAGGGCCATGGTGACTTCTTTTTCCAGATGATCATGCAAACCCAGCTGGTACGTTCACCATATCCTTTTCCCTATTAAAGAAAAGCTACTTTGGGGCAATGGGACATGATTTGAATGGTCTACAGTGACCGTGATCAGTACATTCTCACACCATTTCTTTCCTCTGATTTTCAAAGGAGCTTATGATAGAAATAGTACTTTGCAAGAAAGATGGTGCATCATGCTTAGTGCGGGTATATACAATGGTTTTCAAGTCTGTGACAGCAAAAAAAAAAAAAAGATCCCAGCATTCATGCAGATATAGTAATTCACTAAGGGGCTTGTCCCGCAATAAACTGCTGACCACAGGAACCTTTTCTACATGTTTTTCACGGATGATTTTTCTGGAGCTGCATGGACACCAACAGGACAAAAGGAGCCTATTGAAAGCCCGGTGCCCTTTTTCTTAATAGTTTGCTACATAAATTATGGCATGCAGTCCTTCAGCCTTTGTCTGCACGTCACAGCAGATTTAACTGACTTGCTAAATAAGATCTTGAAGCAGCAGACAGAAATGCCCCTATAGACCACTAAGGCATTGTTCAGTTTACCTTTTCAAGTGAGACTGAAGGTCAGTCTAAGGTTATATATAGTAGTGGAAAAATAGCTGGCTGGCACATTTCATGGAATGTATTTGCAATGTCTTTGCAAATCTCTGGAAACCCAAAGCCTAAGGATTTTATAGAAATTAAGGAGCTCTTGCCAGCATCTGGAACTGAAGACAACTCAGTGGAAATAACTCCACTCTCAAAAACTTGTGAAAGTGTTGTTATTTAGTTGGATTCTATGGCACTATACTGGCATCTAGTGGACAGGACAGAGGACTCGAAGGAAAGAGGAAAACAATTACAGCTTTGCATTTTGTGCTCTCCTTTCCAAGTGTGAAGTCCATCGAGAGCAGCCTCTAAACTCTTTAGACAAAAGAGCTGGTACTGGAAACTTTGGATGCCTTTGTAATGATATGCATATTCACATATAAGCATGTTAAGCAGTCATTATGGTGATGCAGAAAGAGCAGACAGGGGATGGTGTCAAATGCACATGGGGATGGTGAAAAGCCCCAAATACCTCCTTTCTAGAAATCATCTAACAATCCATTCTAATCAGATCCAAAAGTGGTGCCTGATTACTGCTTTATGTTTGTTTGTGTATGTATGTACGTGTACACAGATACACACACAATCAGATCAGTTTCCAAACTCCCATTTTGCAGGTAGATACCATGCAAATAAATGAAGGGACCCACTGGCTTTATTGCACATTACTTAGTCTTACCACAATTGGTAACCCCAAAGCTAAAGGGAGATTTTTGATAATAGGATAGCATAACACATAGCGATTGTCAACAAAGCTCATATCAGTGCCAGAAGAAACCGCAAGACTATCCTTTGACTGTGTGTATAATAGAGAGAGACCTGAGGTCCCCTGATCCAAAACCCAGTACAAACTACATAAGAGGGAGGCCTCTCAGGTTTCTCTTTATTAGCATTAATGTGTACTTCAATTGGTAATGCAGCCTTTGGAATAGAAGCTGCAAGTCTTACAAGAAGCTGGGATATATGGGACTGTGGAACAGGAGGGTCTGTGTGCCTTGCAAAAACAGGAGGAATTGCTTCCACTCTTTCCGGAATGTTCTTTCAGCATCCTGTGTGCCACATTCATTTTTATCACTTGCTTTCTTGAAGTTCTCTACTGAGCATTTTTCCTTCACACCATGAGGAATGTGTAAGAAAGGGCAGGCAGTTTCTGGCCATCAAGATGTTCTCACCTATAATTCCCATCAGCCCTAACAGCCTAATCAGTGGTGAATGACTGTGGGAACTGTAGGCCAAAACACAAGGAGGGCTACCAGTTGCCCATACCCAGTGTAAGAAAAGACAAAGATCAAGATAAAGAGCTTTATCAAGATAACAACTCTAGAGGCTGGTCTTCCTTCTCCTGGCAGCTGAGTGACAAGATCTGAGCTTTGCCTCTGTAAATCACCACCTGTGCTCACCTTGGTGGAGATACCCAATTAAAAGCCAGTTTGGTACAGTGGGCAGAGTGCTCAGCTGAGACTCAGGAGATACAGGTTCTGGTTCCTCTGGATGAAGTTGCCATGAAGTTCAATGGGTTGCTTTGAGCCAGTCATGGACTCTCAGCCTAACCCACTCACAGGGTTGTTGTTGTGAAAAGAAAATGGAGTGGCGGGGATGAATATGTAAGTCATCTTATACCATTTATTACAGGAAAAAATACATGCAAATATTATTTATTTTACCTTGTTAAAGCCTTGCATGAAAATGACTTCAGTTGTCATTTTTACAGTACATAGCTCCTTCCCACAAGGAAGAAGTTTAGAAACTTCAGAAGCTTTACTTTGGGAGTAGGGTGCAGCTTTGCCGTCCAAGTGGGGCCCATTTCATGCATCAGTGTGAAGGACTCATGGGGTCTGGACCTGGCACACTTTGCCCAATTAAGCCCGACGAGAATGAGAAGCACAAAACTGTATTTTATTCTTGAGAATGAAGTCCTATCACAGCAAAAAGCAATTGACCCTGAGCCCATGGAAAAGTCCCCTTTTATACCTCTGCTGACCAGCTAGCGATGACAGCAGCTTATTGGGCTGAAATTCCTGTCACGGTTGCTGATTGGCACATTTGAATACAGGTGGTTCCCACACTTACCTGGGAGGCTTGGCTACCTGGAGGTTGGGCTGGGAGCTTTTGGAGGGAGATTGCTCAATCCCTGGCCATGTTTAATGCTCCAATTTACGTTGACAGTGCTTGGGACGTGACCAGCCTGCCCAGGATGCATGACGGCCGGCCGGCCATGTGTGTCTGACAAGTGCATGTGAACATGAACCATGCAATGTGCAACCAGCCATTTAAAGCACTGCATCTGCTGAAGTATATTTATAATTATTTATGTAACGTTTACATTTCCAGATATATGCCAGTAGCTGCTGAGGAACATATTAAACTGTTAAGTACCTTTTGTAGGATAATTATGCCTTTTCTATTTTAGAACTGGGGTGACAGTGTAAATAAGCATACTGATGACAAAGCAAACGTTCTGGAAACAGTAACTATTGGAGGCTTGGACAGTAGTCCTGAATTTGGGATGTTCTAAATGTGCCTTGTTTGTTGCTTTTTTGTTTGATTTTTGTTTTGTTTTGCTTGTGTCTGAAATGTTGACTAGTATGTTGTTGTTATTGTTACATGACAGTTCTGTACCACTCATAGCCAAAGCTTTCTGGGCAGTTCATCACATTTAAGTCATCCACTCAGATTTCAACTGGGCCAAACCCTGCTTAGCTTCCAAGACTGGGCAGGATCAGGCACTTCATGTTGACCGATAAACTAGAAAGGGAAGTGGGCAGAGACAAAACAGAAACAGCAAGCCCACACAGAAAATATTAGGCCAGAATTCACCAGTTTGGTACCCTCCCTGCAGTGTGCAGTTGTAGTCAAACGCACCTGGAGTGTACCATGCTAGGGAAGGTTGTGCTGGGCCATCAAGAGAAACGGGGAGATGACTAAGCTCCTGGCAGCCTGGGGTGAGGAGTTCTGGCACAACAACAGCCCTTGACAGGCATTGCCGGATGAACATGAAAAATCTCTTCAAGCTGCAATGTTTATTTCCTTTCACTAATGCTAGCTTGGATTTAAATTCTTTAATGCTTCGTGCAGATATACTCCAAACATTTTTCCTGTGCCTGCCATTATAAATTACACTGATAAAGATTTCTTGCCCATCCCCACCCATGTATGGACATAAATGTGCAAGGATTTCACAAGTTTAAACAGAGGGTGTTAACAACTCTGAAAATAAAGCTGAAGCTTTCAAATCTCCTGAAGACTGCCTGAAAAACCCAAATAGTGACCTTTGCTGCTCTAGCCCAACTATCCTTTTCTTTCTTGCCACTTCTTATAGCTTGATCTTTCCCATCCCAAGAGCACTTCAGTGCTTTCACCGCTTTCTCATTCTTCATAATTGTCTGCGGGCTGCCGCAACCACCTTTGCAGGCCCGAGTACACGGTCAGGCTCTAGAGCAATTGCCTTTATGGCCACCCCATTCTTACCATCAACCTAGTTTATTGCACCCATAAAGCAGAACTTGACTCAACCTGAACCTTATTGCTGCAGGAGACAGAAAGAGCATTGGCTGATGGGTCCTTTTCAGTTCTAAGATTTTTTAAAAATGGCTGAATGCATCCATGAGTAATGCTTGGGCTGTGCCTACACAACTTCCAGTGCTGAACTTTTAACACTGCAGTTGTTTGCTTTCTTTGCTATCTTCAGCAGTAACATTTTTCCACATCTTCATTGTCCAGTCAAACATTGTCACCATCATTGTAACAAATAAAACTTAAATTTCCAAGGTCAGGTTCTACAAAAGGGGATTGCAGCCCATAGGAAAACCGTGATGGAACATGAGTCCCATGTATGACACCTTGTAATAGTCTCCTCTCTGTAGGTCCATCTCAGCCACATCATAGTCAGATACATTCTACATAAATACATATATATTTGTGCTCTTGGTCTTGTTTTTTGAAAATCCAATTTCTTCAGGTCATTCGCGAGTCAAGTGATTATTTCCCCCGCAATATGGCTTTTTGTTGGTGCTGCTGCTTGGAAGCTCAGGCTGCCAGCTTGTCCACCAGCACCAGTGGTGAGCTGCCGGGGGCCACAGCTTGTAGGGCGGAAGCACCAAGTCCCTTTGAGTCGCAGGAATGCTGCTGCCCCTGCCTCCCCACCTCAGAATGCCATCTTCCCTCTGAGTTGAGCTGCAATCCTTACAGCGGCTGGAATTGGGAGAATGGATTTCCCCCCGCTGCACAATCACAATCACACCAGGTAAAGCAAGCCAGTGCAGCTCCTTGCAGCCACCCTGGGTGCCAGGTGGGTCCTCCTCATCGCCCATACTGGTGCACTTTGGCTTGTCATCCAAACCTGAACAGATGACTCCTGTGATCAGGCAAATTGAGCTAATGTTGCAAATGGTGCCCGTTTTAATGCAAAGTAGTTCAGGATGGCTTGGTCTTGATTAATTCGTCCATTAAGACCAATTAGAAAGAGGAATCAACACAGCTGTCCAAATTATTGAACAGGAGAGAAGAGTTGGAGGCAGGAGTGGGACAGTCAGGATGAGCTCCAGAATTCAGAATCCTAATCCAGATCAGGGCCTCGCACCAGTTTCCCCTATAAAAGCACCTTTCATGCCTGCCATTTGACTCCAGATATGTTGCTTACAGTGAACAGTACCTTGAGGAGTCAATACTCACCAGTTATGGACTGTGGCTACTGGCACAGAGCCCTGATCTGGCCTTGGGGCTGCTTTTCCTTTACACGCAAAGCAGCCAGTTTAAACGCCATTCGGGAAAAGTGTTAATCTTGTCAGGTTTGCTTGTTCCCAGCAGGCGACAACACAGCTCCTGCCTACAGTGGCAGGTCTCACCCACTACCTCCTGCAAACATCAACCATTGTTCAGGATCAAAAACCCACCACCAAACCCAGTGGGGATTAAAACCTGGTGGTCCTCGCTGCTGCTTTCCTCTGATGGCTGTCCCATATTTTCATGCATCCAGGATACGCCTTTGAAAAGCCTCCTCTGCCAACTCATCCTTTCTAGTCATTGCAACATCCCATGTGTTCAAAATCCCTGTTCTGACAACAGCCCTTCATATTTCTCGTGGCTGTTTACGGTCTTCATGCCACTTTCATCATTCTTTTACCCCCACCAACCTGCCAAACCAGAAAACCACCACTTTTCCGTCTTCTCTCTCTGTTCCCACTCAGCTGGACCATTGCTTGCCAGGCATTTTATTTCCCATTTGAGCAACGGTATATGTGCATCCATTCATAATTAAAGTCATCTTTTTCATTGGGTATGATTTGATACATCTGCTCAGCAAAGTGCTGCAAAGACCTAATTCAGGCTATGGGAAAATTCAGCCACTTACTCCATGGGTTTAATGCCAAGCCCCAGCCAGACCTCCAAGAATGATGTCAGCAGGGCCTTGGTAACTCCATTTCCACCTTGCATTATGTGTCTGTCTGTTCTTCTGCCCAGGTGCTTTACCTTTAAACTGGGCCCTGAAGACATGTAATACTGGGGTCTTTTTTTCACTGATCCATGAACTAAAGTTAAGAGCTTAGCAAAGCAGAAATATTACAAGCATGCACACATGGAGACAGAGAGAGCAGATTTGTTTAAATGGCTTGTCATTGGTTATGACATCAACACCTTTGGTCTGAAGTTATCAATAGTTCCAGTCTTTGCTATTTAAAGCCTGCAAATATTAAGGCAAATTAATCAAGCAGCAAACATGCCCCTCTCTTGCAATTAAAATGTTTTAATTAATTAATAAATAATAATAAATAGCTCCTGCCTTTTCTTTGGTGTATCTGAAACTGATCATCCTAGATTGGCAAGTTCTCCCGTCCTTCCCCTCAGGTCACCCGCTGCACTAGGCATAGCATCAACAGCTGAATTATCAGCCATCGGGGCAGGAAGCCTGGTAGATGGAAGGCATGCTGTCCGCAGTGCTTGGCTTCTGTGCCGACAAGAGCAGAACTTCCTGATTATTTGTGCAGAGACTTTGGCCATGACAAAACCCTGATTAAAAGCCGCCTTGAGAGGGCACAGGTTTTGTTAAGATACTCTGTTGGCTCTGTTCTCTTTTCTGTCACATTGTAAACTTGAATTTATTATTCTTCCTGTTTGCTTGTTTCAGATCTCCTGCCCAAAGGCTGTTATGTTGTATTAAAGATTTACAGATCAGGTGCCTAAAATGGTTGTCACAACAGATTATCTAACCCAGATTAGCAGCTTGTCAAAACAGCTTTCAAGTATCCTTTTCACCACCCAGATTTAAAGTGCTTACAGACAAAATGACAAGTATTTCTAACTCTTCTAAATGCTGCGGTCCCAAATCCACTTTGCTGGAGAATATGTCATACGGAACTGCATCTCACTTCCAAGTCAATGAGCATGGGATCAGCAGTATGGGAGCACCTTTAATACAACTTCGACTTGGTGTTTAAAACCATACGAGCCTCAATTTTGTTGTTTGACAAAGAAGCCAAGACAAAAGCAGCAATGACCTCTAACTTAGAGCTAGTCAAGGTTTATACTTTCCGCAGACAAGCATCCTGGTGCTCAGTTTCATGCTCAAGGCCATAACAACTAATCAGAAGTAATATACAGATGATTACCAAGCAGTGGGTTGGGGGAGGAGATGGTATTATTCCTTTGTTTGTTTTCAGCACTGGTATACTGCCAAAGCAACTTGCAACATATTAAAAACCCCAATTTCATTAGAACATAGTCACAATCTATACAATTTAATCAAGCATCTAAAAATACTAAAGCCATTAACATTAAACAATATAAACAGTTTAAAATATTACACTACAAGATAGCCAGCAGTATGATACTAAAAGAGCAATAGCTAAATAAAGAGCACTAACATGTCAGATTCCCCTGACTAACATACTGAGCTGGTTTGACAGTGTCAGAGAAGCCAACAGCCCCTCCACCAGGAGGTCACGCTGGCCACAGTAGGCTGGTCTCCTTGTGGGGTCACCCAAGGCAGAACGTTCAAAGCTGAGGCACCCGACTGAGATGCACCCACCATCTTGAGGAGAGATGGTCACTGCAGCAGCAGAGAATGGATCTTTCTAACAGTGATGGGGGCAAGAAACTCCTGAAGGGCAGCTACTGGGCCTCAACATTAGCTGAAGGCTCACTGGCATAGGGTCTTTCACAGACAATGGTAGTGATGCTCAAGCTAACTCTGGTTAGTATTGCACAGAAGAAAGCAATAGTAAACCATTTCTGAATTTCCTCATCTTGAAAACCCTATGCCGAAACAATCCAAAATGAAAAAAGAGATCCCGCCAGAAGATAAGACCCCCAGGTCAGAAGGCACTCATCTAGCTACTGGAGAAGGGCAAAGAACAAGAACAAACAGTGCTGTTGCTAGAGCAAAGCCAAAAGAAAATCTAGTGGGTGACATACAGAGGCAAAAGGAAAGTCCAGGGCTGCACAACACATACCATTGGAATATGGAATGTAAAAAGTATGAATCAAGAGGAACTGGAAACCATAATACAATTGAAAGTGTGAAAATGTTGCATACATTGCACCAGTCTTCAGTTCAAAGGAGATTGCAGCCAAAATATTCACAGCAGACTAAAGAGCAGCAATGAAGGAACTAGAAAAGATCATCTAGTGTAAGGATGTTTCACTGGAGACCAAGGCCAAGATCATCCACGCTATTGTTTTCCCAATGGTTATGCATGGTTATGAAAGCTGGCAAGTGAAGAAATCTTACAGGAAGAAAATTGATATGTTTGGAACATGGAGTTGGAGGAGAGCTTTGAGAACCCTGGACCAGCAGAAAGATGAACAAGTGGGTTCTAGACCAGCTTAAGCCAGAAACTTCCCTGGAAGCAAAAATGACAAAACTGAGGTTCTTGCACTTTGGGCACAACTCACTGGAGAAGACAGTAGTGGAAGGGGAGGGCAGCTGGAAAAGAGGAGGATAAACTATGAGATGGATTCACTCCACATAGCAAGACACAGCATGGAGTTACTGTGCTGTGAACAGGGCTGTGAAGCTGAACAGGGCTGTGAATGACAGGATATTTTTGGAGGGAGTCCTTTGTAGGATCAGCATATGTTGGAGATGATTTGATGACACATAAATAACAAGAAATATATTGTTTCTATATTGTATATTGTTTATGTATTGAAGCACTAAAGTATCAATTTAAAAAATGAGGAATTTTTAGAAGTCTTTAAGGCATATTTAAGAGCTGACAGCACAGATGCCATATGTTGCTAGCCTCCTAGGGAGGGAGTTCCACAAACATAGAGCCATCTCCAATTCCTGATAATCTAACAGGCCCACAGGTAGAACCCAAAGGTTGCTCTTGAGATCTGTACAAGCGATCCATATTTTGCTCCATTTGAGCTTTTCAGGAAGAACTAGAGTCATCTTTTTAAGGACCTGTTGAAGGCAGAGTGCTGGGTTTGACAACCGCTTCACCTGATCCAGCATAGGCTGTTCTTACGAACTTTTTATTTAGTAATGGTGAGTGTGTCAAAGTCTTCACTGGTTCTTAATGTGTATTTAAGAACATAAAAAGTGTATTAGAAACTGATCTAATTAATATCTTAATATTCAGGACCTGAAATGAGAGGGATATATACTACATAATCAACCCAAAGTGCACGTCATGTTTTTATTGATTCCAGCTGCTTATTGTTAGTGATAGTGAAAATAATACAGGAACTGGTCTTTCATTTGGGAGTAATTATCTGTCTTTTCAGACTTGTACTAAGTCAGAA